AATAAGCTCCATGAACATATATTATTTGTTATTAAAAATGTGGGGAAAACTGTGATACTTGTAGATTCATTTTCTCTGAAAATCATTGTTTTGCTTCTAGGAAGCTTGACTCTTAAATCTACTAGTTTTCGGATCACAGACGTTACCTTACTATTGAAAAGATAGTAGGATTTATTCTTAAATTACAGAAGCTTTATTAACAAAAATCTCACAACCCCAGGTCTTCCTGGCTAATTCCACTGTTTTGTTGCTTAACTCAGGTTTATTGGTGTTTCACTAAGCGTTTGCTCGTAAAGTTTTCTTCCACACGCTCTAAGCTTAATGTTGCTGACAGATGCACTTTCTGTAATATTGCATTCAGATTTTTGATTTTGGATTCTTAATGCTGAAATTCCTCCTTTGTGGCATAACTTCCTTTTAGGAAAATAATGTATTTTTCAGTGGAACTTTTAAAATGAAGCTAAGGCAAGGTCCATTAACGATAAAGTTAAAATAAAACATTGCAAATTCATCTTTCTTCAACAGCTTCTTTCCTTCCTGCTCACTCCTTCCTCCCTCCCTCCCTCCCTTCCTTCTTTCCTTCCTTCCTTCCTTCCTTCCTTCCTTCCTTCCTTCCTTCCTTCCTTCCTTTCTAATAGCTGCAAGCTAAAATGTATGCCACTCTGAAATTAGGTTAGAGGGAGTAACAGACCAATAATTTTTCCCTTTCTCTGGGATAAAAAGTGCAGTTTTGAATAAATCATCTCAAAGTTAGCTTTTAGGTTAGTTCATTTTTAGAACATTTGAAATAAGTATGAGCTTTAAGTAAGGAGTTTAAAGGATTACTAATTTTCCCATGGTGAGAGAGTGCAAGTAATAAAAACCTCCATTTACCTTGATCTATTTTGAGAAACCCTCTAAATTGGAGATTACTCTCAGAAGAACTAGTTTTTGGATAGAAATACAAAAGAACAAAACAGCTATAAAAATTGTCAATATTACAAATTTGTCATCTAAAATAATTACATTAGAATTACTAACCAGATACTTTATATGGATGGAGAAAAATATACTTGTACATATTAGGAAAGTTATTTTCAAAATGACTAGTAACAAAATTATGAGATATAATTTTAAAAATAATATATTTCAAGGAATTAGGTGATAGATAAGACAATTTTCTTGTTCTTAGACACCTCATCAAATTACTACCTGTGCCATAGACTATGAGTTACACATCGGAGTGGTTTGAGAGAAAAAAGTGAAAATGAAAACGGTTGAGTGTATGTGTTTATGTACATTTAGTTGCAGGTTTTTGAGGAAAACTTTTCAAAAACAATTTTATTCCCTAATCAGTCTTAGTGTTTTTTTACACATTTTATTTCCTTTGATTTAAAGAGACATTGATGTAATTGCAGATATTACATAATTAATTTTTCCAGTGATGTAAAAATTGCAGTTCTCTCCTTCGCTGACATGAAAACTTTCCATGTTCTTTTAGCAGAGGAAGAGCAGACAGTCCCAGAGAGCTTCATGACCTTATAGATTTTAATGCATTTTAATTTACTACTCGAGTATTTCTTCTTTCTTATATCCATCTCAATGCCAATTTAATGCCTTCTCTTACAACTGTACAATTGTAACACAGCACTTTGATGTAACTTAGGGACCTGTTCTCTTTTAGCTGATTCTGTTCACTTCTAGCACTCTATGTATGGCTGTGAGCATTTCTGTGGAAAAACCTTGGATTGAGATGCCTTTTATTTTATTGAATGTTTTATATTGCTCATGCAATTTAGATAGGGTAATATTACTATCACTGTGAAATACTTTGCAGCAAGAGATAAAACTTTTTAAAATGCAATGTGCTGACTTTGCAAGTTCTTATTGTAAAAGTTTTGCAAGCACATTCCTATATATAATGCTACCTATACATAAAATCCATTTTTTCCAAGTGGAGCCAAATTATGGAGATTAAAATATCAGTGTTATAGAAAATCATTAATAGTAGGTATGCTTTCATTATTTTCACTAGAAAGAAATTGATTTTTTTCTAGGAAACATTCAGAAAACAGTTCAGTTGATCACAAAAGCATTCCCAAGACAAGAACAAAACTTCCACCATGTTAAATTTTTCTTGTTAATAATTTTCATAAAGGATGCAGATATACCATCAAGTGTACTTTGGATGATTTATTGGATAAAATCAATCTTTATATTGTGGTTGCAGGTTCGTGTTTAATCATATGAATTAGAACCTGTGCTTAGAAACTGCAAAAGGCAGAAAGTGACCTGGAAGTGTTTCATGAAGCAATGCCATGGGCAGGTTAACCTGGTGTTTTTCTTTATTGTACGCCTATGGTGGGTGAGAGAATTCCTTAGAGATATGGCAGGGTTAGTGCCTCATTAATTACTAGGAAAACGTTTTCCGATCACAAGTGCCCAAAAAATAGGAGAAAGGTTGGAAAGGAGAAGTAGACTTCACTGCCACAATATAATTTTGCCTATAGTCAGTCATCTTTTCCCATTCATACATAAATCATAACCATGTGGCAAGTGTAAATTTGCCCATGAGACTTAATTTTTATGTATGTGTTGGAGGCACTCTACCACATCAAGTATATAAATACAGTTTTGAGTTTCTTTTCTCAAAGTCGAATTTTTTACTAAAATCCCTGAGTGGAATGAAGACGTCTTTTCATTCACCTTGATCCTACCGTTCTAAGAAGTGCACAAGGACAGAGAGACAGAGAAATGGGTGAAACACTCTCTACTGAGGTAAATAGCATCTAGAGATTCAAACACAGTCTTTGTTATTCTAAGTCCACCATAGGTCATGATCATTACTTAGTTTTCAGAAACACCTTATTTGGTAAAATTTAGAAATATGTAAAATGTGAAAGTAGTACAATAAACTGTTTACCAGAAAATTAATAAATGAAAGGGTTACCATACAGTAAGAATGTGAAATCTGAAGCAGCTAGAAAACTAATTATAGTGAAAAGACTGGAGCATAACTATACACTTTTTCAATTTGACTTAAACTGATCTTTTCAGGCCTGAAGATTAATGTAACAGCACTTTATTTTTGTCTAAATATTTTACACTATTATTTGAATCCCTTGCTTTACTATAAACATATACTTTCATCTATGAGATTGTAAAATCTAAATTTTGTTTAAAGGTACAAATATATTTTCATGTAATCCAAAGCACTGTAAAATGCTTAACATATTAAAACTTGTATAAATATTTCTGAAGAAGTCACATTTGGAAATGTGTTGATTACATCACGTTAAAAGTTTAGTCACATGTCTCTACTTGAAAAAAGTTGGACAAAACTAATAAACAGTATGAAGTGCATCTGAAATTGTTAAAATGAGGTTTCAGAAAATATAATTAATTTCTAAAATGAAGCCTAAAAATCCTATCACTTTATAATTCATTAATTTATTTCTTGTTGATATCATTCTTTTGAATGTGCAATCATAACAAAGAATACATGTCACAAAATCCTTAAATAAAAATAAAATCTCTTACTCACTATTATTGCACAGATATTAATAACTGAAACTAAAAGTCTATTATCTCTTTACAGGAACCCTTCAGATTTCAAAGCTAAGGAAGAAATTCAAGGAAAAACAAAAGCGGTACAGACCTTTAACATCCCAGCTGGGATCTGCCCATAAAACCAGAATATTTGGCCACCCCTTTGGGAAAAGGGAAAAGACACCATGTCTCCATTGATTTCAGTAGTATAACTGGATTCTCAATGTCTTTAGTTTTTGGATTATCTTTCTTATATTTACTCATTTTCCAATATACCCATCCACTTCTGGTTATGAATTCTGTTTATTTCAGCCTGGAGCTGAGCAACTATGCGCCTGCAAGCCCTGGTACGTAGGTGCCAGATATGTTGTGCTGGCCTGAACACTGCCAGCTGTAGCCTTTTTAAGGAGTAATAGGTCACTTTGAAATACAGTACGTACTTATACAGATATTGACTTCCTCCTGAATAACTAGAACGTTTCGTGACCTTTTCTCACATGACCCGTGCAGAAATCAGTTATGTATTCTCATTTACTAGACCCTCCTTCATTGCTCATTGTCCCACAGATAATAAGATGAAGAACAGGTTCTCTCTGAATCTTGGCTTAGGATCATTTGTGATCTCCTTTGAATCTTGGCTTTAGTAGCGTTTGTGTTGCAGTCTTTCTGAACACCTGCCACAAAGATTTCTTTCATTCCTGAGTCCATCTTGCATCCTGATTTATTTGCCTGATTCTGAACCTTGATTCTGGTTCTGTTTCTTGGTCCCATGAATTTCTTTTTCTTGATCTCACATTTCATTTTCCACACCCTACTCCTAGTTTTATTAGAATGGGCTAGCTCCAATTGCCTTCTTGATTTTATATCCAGGTAAATTTTAACCATTACAGAATTTAGATATAGATTTTTGAAAAGACAAAATTGCAGGAAACTTAATTACATGATATCATGGACATAACGTTAAGGAACACATTTATGACATACATTTGCTATAATATTTTGATGCAGAAATGTTCCTTCAAATATTCTTTCTTTATGAATTTCTAGACAAAAGACCTTATAACAACTTACTCTTCCAAAGATTTCTCAAGTGGCCTTTGCTCAAAAGAACAGTTTATATGAAAAATATTTTGTTTTGTATTTTTGGTACCAGGAATCAAACTCAGGACCTTGCACTTGCTGGGTAGGTGCTTATGCTGATGAGCTATATTTCTGGCCCCATATGAACTATATAATTGTTAAAGATCCCAGCATCAAAATCTAAATATGTGTTTTCTTCTAATGATCTTTTAAAGCAAAACACAATAATTACAAACCTCGTAACACATATTGAGTGGCAGGCAATTCAGTTCACGCTTTCTAACTGATATGGCAATGATTAAAAGAACAGGAGGGATTTAGGTTCATCTGGGGCATTCATTACTATGATAAAGTTAATAGCTCACTTTGTCTGAGTCCACAAATAGACTTACCACGGCAGTGTGCTCCTTCGTCGTACCCATCGGAGCAATCCAGGACACCATTGCACAGTTGGGATAGATGGACACATTCGTTGGTACCAAGACAAGCAATATGATTCAAGGAACACTTGATTTCCACCTCCTCAGGACCTAAAATATACAAAAAGAAAAAAAAAAGTGTTATTCTCAATCTTTGAACACAACATATTAGTAGTATCAGTTTACAAAATAAAACTACAGAAAATATTGTCAGAGAGCAGCTGTAATGTTTGGAGACATCAAAATTAGAACATGTGTTTAAAAACCTTAGTTTTAAAAGTTATGCAGGAAGCGAGTAGTGTTATTCTTTTCATGTAATGCATTAAAATATAAGTATAATTTTCAACCGTTAAACTAGTATAGGTTTAAAATGTGAAGATTGGTTTGCTGTATCTCTTATCGCTAGATAATTTGAGTAGATAATTTATACATTTTGAGTCTCAGTTTTCTTACTTGTAAAATATGGATGATGGCAAATTCTCAGCGGGACTCCTGTTGGAATCGGATGAGGTAGCATGAGCAAAAAGATCTTATAGGCAGAGCATCCCTAATCTGAAAATGCGAGACCCAAAGTTCCTAAACCCAAAAGATTTACGAGCACCAAGACAGCGCTCAAAAGAATTCAGATTCTGGAACATTTTGAATTTTGGATATGTGAATTAAAGATGCTTAATTATTAAAGCGGGGCTTTGGAAATGTGATTGGATTACAGGGATGCTGCAGGTGAATTGCTGCTAGTAGGTGTTGTTTCCTGGGAAGAGACAGGTCCTTGGAGCAGGAACTAAAGGGCTCATGTCTCTCTCCAGCTCTTCCCTTCTTTCTCTGCTTCCCGGTTTCCGTAATTTGAGGAGCTTTCCTCTGCAGACCCTTCCCTCTTGCTCTTCCTGCCTTGGAAACAGAGGACCGTGGGCTGAAAACACGAGCCTAAACAAACCTCTGCCCTTTCAGCTGTGGGCCTCAGTGATTACTGTGTCCCAGAAACCCGAAAGTGATGAAGATATTTACGCAAATTATCTCAAATCAAGAAAATGCTAAATTCTCAAACAATCCTAGCCCCATGCACCTTAGATAAGGGCTACTCAAACTACATTAGAATGCAAGCGAAGATATATTAATCTAAAAGTGATTTTACTTTTAATTTGTGCTTTAGAATATGAAGAACAGCTAATTATAAACTTCTTAGTATCAAAATTTTAAAAATAACTTACTGAGTCAAAAGTATTCACTAATACTGTACCACAAAAGTATTCACTAATGAGTAGCAAGTACATGATGAATAGGACCTAGACTCTGATTTTGCCTATTGGTGATAATTACTTTTTAACCATTAAATACTTTCCTGTCAGAACATGTAGTTTTGAAATTCACTAAATATAAATCTTTAGTAACAAACTAAATTTATGTTCTCCCTATAAATTTCCCAAATGCTAGTTGAATACTCTCTAGGGACTTTCAAAGTTCCCAGTATGATTCTTGGTCTCCCTTCACACTCCCAAATCCAAAGTGGAGGAATACCAATATTGTTAAAATCATGTAATAATCTGACATTAGTTATCACAAAAATCCTGATTCTATAGTCAAAACTATTTAGGTTTCAATCATAGCTATCAGTGCAAAAGAACACTAAATTGTTTAATTAGGTAGTCCATTAGTATTCTCATCTATACAATGGGACTACTGACCTTTCTATCTTACAGTATTCCTGTGACTGTCAAAAGTTATTGATAGTAAGGCAGACAGTGCTGTGAGATGCACGCTCTGTGTAGCATTTCAGTGTGTTACTCATACTAATTAAGCGCAGTGTAACAGAGGGGTTAATAGACTCTGGACCAAGTTTCTTGGGTTCAGTTCCTGCCACCAACCTTTATGAGGGGCTTGGGCAAGATTTGTACCACCCAGATACTTCACAGTGTTGTGGTGAAGATTGTATCAAATGCTTTCAACATACTACCTTGCAAATACTAAATAAATGCTTCCTGTTACTATTAAATATTATGTAATGGAGAGCTGCTGTTTGGCACTTTCTGTTGTTTTGCAAGCTCCCAAAGAAAAAGACAAGTAAAAATTTCATGCTTTACTTTCATATTTAGTTGATACAAATAATACTAATAATAATAGAGAAAAGGCCAATTTAACTCTTTCTAGACTACCCAAAACTATGAAAATTGCAAAGTTAGTGTTGTGACAGAGTTAGTATACAAAGCAAAACAAAAACACTACATAAGCAAAACAGAAAACTGTAGTTGACAAAAGTAAAATATTTTGGAAACTCTTTATCAGATATGTATTAAAAGTTTAAGTGATTTTGATGCTAAAACAACTTTTTGTATTTGGGTGAAATATAGAAAAAAATTTATGATGCAGTTTCGCTAGATGACATGTTGCTACTAAACACTTTTGTGGTAATTTTTCATGAATATTTATGTAATTAATATTATATATGACTATTAATTTTGTTAAATACCAAACACAACTAATATATAACTCATTTTAGTGTAATCTGTTTAAGTAACTTAAGTATTGATATTTCTAAAATTAAACATTTACTTTCATATTTATGTGTTTGTGTGCCTGTGTGTGTGTTTTAATTAAAGTGCAAATACCCACATTTGAATCAGGAATAAAGATAAGTGAAACTGTTTTTCACTGAGTTTCTAACTGTTTAATCATATATTTGTAAGACTAACATCAATTAAAATCATTAAAGTTCTATGATCAACAGTTATAAAATAGTCCTTCTTAGTGTTATATGGCTGATTTTAAACAATGAAAATACGCATCCTTGCATAATTGTCAAAGTAGTGGATAGACTGACAGCATTGAGACCTTTGCAAAAAATCCAAAAGTAATCCACAGAAAGAATATTTCATAAATTTGGGAAACTAGGGAAATTATATACGAAGAAAACCTAAGTGACATAGCAGTTCTTAAACAAAACAGATTATGTTTAGGGTGATATATGTGTTAGCCAAATGAAGGTATAATTTTCCTTCTTTGAGATTACCAGGCAACAGATATGACAGTAGAAGTACAACTCAGTGTGGGGTGGGTGCAGGAAGGACTCAGCTAATTATAAATTTTGAGAAAATAAGAAAATAATTGGATTAAACAAAGATAGTATATAGGGCTATCAGCTTATTCCTCACATAAGATATCTGGTCAAAGGAGACTTATCATAGCAAATGTATAGAAAAAACATAGTTCTTTTACATACTAATCAGTATAGCCCTCCTGTCTCTGATATACTTTTGCTTGGTTTCCATTATTTCTAAGTAATTCAAGACAGCTAGACCATAGCTAGATGGACTGTACCTTAGCCAGTCCTTCACAATTTTCATTTCAAAATGCATTATGTTACAGTAATATCCACAATGATAATAGCTCTAAGGTGCTCAAAAGTAAACTGCAGAGATTACTTGTAAAGGCTATTCCAGACATTAGAAGTTACCATCATAATTGAGACAATCGATATCTTAGACCGGTACTAAGATACTTCACTTGGAGAACTGCTAAAGCAAGTATGTTTTATTGCTTTTGCTAGAATGTGGAAATAGGCAAAATAATTTTGAGAAACAACAATTTCTTCCTCAAGTAAAATTCTCCCAGAAATCAGGTGACATATTTAGTGCACTGTTGTTTTGAGCAATAATCTGTTCTTGAGTCCCAGTTATCATGATCCTCTTGTAAGTCCATCTCTAAATGGGCAAAAGTGTCAATGTAACCCTTACCAGTACCCATTGACTGTGTGACAAATTTTACTATGATAATGAAGGCTACAATAATTCCTGACAATATTTCAATACTGAATGAAATGACTCATTTATGAAGACTTTATGCATTCAAAACATTTCACAAGGAAAGAGTGCTAGTATATGATCATATACTAGACTTAGCAGGGCACATTGCTGCAGGCTTCCTGATATGCCCGACATTCCCTTACTAGTTGCTAAATCATGAGGAGATGTGGGAACTCAGAAAAGGATGAGGAGTCATAGCATAGCACAGAGGGAATTTAAATATACCAGTTCCTCAGTCTTAGTTGGAATATCACCTTGGCTTTCAGTGATGCATTTTCAGAAACCATTTTTCATCTATTAAATCTAATTTTAGGTGACCAAAGCAATTTGACAAACTAAAGAATATAATGATTTAAAAAAACTTCATCATTAAGGGGATTTAAATTATGTCAACCCATGAGAACAAAGTTGATGCTTTAAATTGTTTATAGGCTTCACCCAATTAGTTAAAATAGACTTCATTTCTTAAACTTAAGCTTGTTTTACAAAGAAGACTTCCAAGATAATGTAAGGATAATATTATCAATCTCTATTCTGTTCAATGTTTCAATCATGTTTTATACATAGAGAAAATATTTTGCTGTGTTCAGTAATGAAGGGTTAAGTGAAGACATAAGCCTGATCAAACTCATGTTCTGGCTAAAAATAATGGGGATTATACACTTTGTGAACAGATGGAGATATCTTTTCAGTACTGGTAAATACAGCCCATATCTGCCCTTGTCGCATCACTGTATCTCAGCAGAAACAGTATCACTCTTGCTTTCCCAAGGTCAACCTCTCCACTGTTACCACAGCTCATTTCTGCATCTTGACCTGTCAAGAATCACCTCTTGTTCTCATTTCCCATTTATTTCCTTCTAATGGTCCACTGGCTGCAATATCGTAAAATTTTCTTAACCTACACCCCTGAATAAAGTTCTTTTTTCTGACTAAATGTTCTGTCCAATTGTCCTTCTTCCTACTCTTCAAAATTTTACTGTTTAGCTTCTTAAACAGACAGACAGCAAGAGCTATCTGGACTGCACCTGTCCATTCCCATTCCTCTCTCAGTGTTCAAAGCTCCCAAAATTCTGCTGAACTCATTCTCCCAAAGGTCTCTGCAGTTCCACTCACCAGAAAGACAGTGAGACACAATGTCCTTCAAACACTGGCTGTATTTTTTCTCTCTCAGTCACATATCGCATGGTTCTCTCTCATGCTTCTACTCTAGCCCCACTATTGGCAGTGTTACTGCTCTTTGTCCATTCCTTTTCCACCAGCCTTTTCGTCAACTTTCCTCCACTATCGGTCTAGAAAACAATCATCACCTTC